ATAGCTTCATTAATTGGAAGCACTACTCTCGATGGTTCCACAGAAGCTAAGACGTTAACCAGCCTGTAAGACCTTTCTCCAACCTCTTCCACCTGGATATCCAGAGTGGAAGTCACCCTCTTGAACAAGTCCTGATGAGCCTATAATCCTCAGGGGGAAGTGAGGAACTTTCTGATACCACTGCCTCATCAGGTGATGAAAGCGGAGAAAGCCAAAACTGGCTGTAGTGGAGCCTTCTTCAATTCCTCTAAAGGGAGAATTTCCTCCTGCTCGGTACTGAGACTGTTACTGGGAGTGGCCTCCCTCTGCACCTGGTGTGGTAAATCTTGGTGCCTACTTGATGAAGCAGAGTAGGAAGGGTGTGGAGACGACCTGGAGGAAGGAAAAAAAAACCTAAGGGGTCCAAAATGTCTATTGGTAAGGACTCAGAGCCCAACTACTTCCCAGTCAATGGTCTCTGGTTGATGGCCAAGATGGAGCCTCAAAGGAATACCAAGGATGGTAGGCTGTGGAAGGGGAATGGTTCATGGTCTGGCTGCGACACACGGGAGCCAAACTCGGAATTTGAAGATGAACCAGCCTCCTCTAACCAAGTAGGGGCTATTCCAATCATTGCCCAAGATCAAGGTTGGGAACCTGGAGATGGTGCTATCAGTGAGATCATGGCTGGCTTCCTTCTTGAAAGTACCACATGAAGACATACACGGAGTACTAGAGGCACCCACAGTACCGCATGCTGGGACAAAGTCAATAAAGTTACAGTGGGCACTGGTACTGGGCAAGAAGATTATTGGATCGCTGGCAAAGCCGGCACATTGAGAATCACCAGATCCCATGCTGTCACATAAGCCAGAGTAGACGGTACCGGAACAGTACTATTGAACTAAATGGAGCCACTTTGGGAGCCAATCTCAACGGTGCCGGTGCCAGAGTTGACAGTCCCTGCTGAGCAGATGACTGCCTTGGAAAGTGCCTTGGCCTTGAGTGCACTCTGTTGTGCTTGTCCATGTGCCTGCTGGACTTAGGTGCTGGGGACCTCAATCTCCCAGCGACTGGGCCCTTAAATGCCTTCTTCTGGTGTCTCTCCCACACTATTAGGGAGGGCAATAGGCCCCAAAGCTCAATCAAAACAGAGGGAACACTTCTGATGGATGCAGATGCACTCAGTACCCACTCCGAAGGCTCTAAGGGTTGATGCAGGGCTGCCTCCATCAGAAGAAACTTGAGTCTGGCCTCCCTGTTTTTCTTGGTTTTTGGGTTAAAGTCCCTGCAAATTTGAAACCGATCCTGATGTAAGTCTCACCATGACACTTCAGGTATCCTGAGTGAGCCATACTCACAGGCATTGGTTTCTTGCAGGAAGGGCAGGGCTTGAAACCCGTGGACCTTGCCATGCCCTACCTCTGGGACTCAGCAGTGGGAATTGAAGCTTTAAAAACACTTTAAAAAACAATATTTCTATATCTACCAAACAGTCTAAACTAAAAAACAAGTACCAACTACATACAAATATGAGGGGAAATTTTGCAATTGCAAGACAACACATTCCTACAACTGTCACAGGTGGTAAGAAGGAACTGCTGAGGGGTGGGGGAGGGGGAGGTCAGAGGCAGCTCTGCCCTTTATACTTTTGCATCGTACCACCAAGGGAAAAATCTCTGACAAGTGGGCTTGCACACACCTGCAGTGGAATGGACATGTGCAACACATCTCAAAGAACCATTTTTTCTTGAAAAAGTGTTTTGACAAAATATGTTCTACCAACTCAATGCAATAGTTTAGTAGTGACTACAGCACTTAACCACTCCACAACAGGAAATGCCACCCTCTAGATTTCCTGTTTATGGCCACAGGGCCCAAATCACTGAGATTCTGAGAGCTCCATGCCACAGAGTCCATTTGGATCAGAATTTGACCCTAAAAAAAAAGTAAAATATATTGCCAGAACCCATAGTTTCCTGCGTTCAGGGTTTGCAGAATTGCTCATCTTCCAAGAAATCTTGGAACAGGAATAGATGGAGAAACACTTACACTTAGGGTTTCCCACACAAACATTGTCATTTTTTTAAGACTAGAATAATGGATCCAGGATTTGTTATTACCAGTATCTAACATCAGAATCACGAATAATGTTAAATGCCAGCCAAATCATCAAAAACAAGATTACCGTGAGCCAGAGACGAGATTAATTGCCAGAGAATGAAACTGATCTTTTAAAAGGAGTTTTAATGTAATATTACTACATTATTTAAAAATTAAGCTTTGTAAAAGTCTGTGCTAGTACTATTATGTGGCAGTACTTTTAATGACTTTAAATAAAAATTGTATGACTATACAGCTGAACAAATTTAGAAGTTTAAAAGTCATTTTTGTGTTAGAGAATAGCTGACAGATCTCCCTGGGTTTTCTTCACTGTTTATGCTCTCCCAGCCATAATATTATTAATACCCTCTTAGTGCACACCTTTTGCAAATCTTCACTGGGTGAGGAATACCTTTGTACTTATGTATTTGGGATGTGTACTTCAAGTATCCAAAGAAGTGTTCCTTTCTTCCTATTAAAAAGCCTTGACTGCATAACAATATCATGCATTTTACTTCTATTATGTACTCATTTTTAATTCTTTTATCCACCAACCTCAATAATAAATGATTTATTAGGGCCCTATTCAGAATCTTTTACTCATGCAAAACCTTTGTTGACATAAATGAAAGTCTTCCTGGAGTAAAGAGTGCTCAGTAAGATGGACATGTTATATTGCTTTGGCTTTCCATAGAAATGAATGGGTAATTTTTTCTATTTCACATAACATGAAGCAGAAAAATGGAGGTTCTGATTGTGGATTGCTTCTGCACCTTGTATAGTGAGACAAAGTTCCTCCTCTGCCTTGGTGGGTCCTGTCTTATAGGTGGATTTGCTCACCTCAGAGATTCACGGCAGCCTTCAGCTTGGCTATACCTATCTCATAGAACTGGAAGGGACCTTGAAAGATCATCAAGTCCAGCCCCCTGCCTTCACTAGCAGGACCAAGTACTGATTTTGCTCCAGATCCCTAAGTGGCCCCCTCAAGGATTGAACTCACAACCCTGGGGTTAGGAGGCCAATGCTCAAACCACTAAGCTATCCCTCCCCCCTTTAAAATCTTCCAACATTTGTGCACACCTAATTGGAATCGATACAAGCAAGCACTTGAAGAAGATCTTTTATTGGACCAACTTCTGCTGGTAGAAGGGACAAGCTTTTGAACAGTGGCTACTACTTTTGCTAGTGGCTCAAACCTGCCGTCCACTCAGCTAACCTCATCACTGGCCAGCATGGGGGAAATGGAGAACAATCCCCACAGTCTCTGTGTCCCACCTAGTGGGTCAGGGACAGGCCAGATCCCTTTCCAATTTAGACCTTCCCTTCTGGTGTTTCTCACAGATCAGGTCAACTCTTCCTGCGTCCGATCAGGAGCTGGGGGGATGGGGGAACCCGGGCCCACCCTCAACACCGGGTTCCAGCCCAGGGCCCTGTGGATAGAAGCTGTCTACAATGTTCCCTGTATTAGCTGCGTGACAGCTACAACTCCCTGGGCTACTTCCCCATGGCCTTCCCCAGCACCTTCTTTATCCTCACTGCAGGATCTTCCTCCTGAAGCCTGATCACGCTTGAACTCTTCACTCCTCCAGCAGCACGTCTTCTCACTCCCTGCTCCTTGCACACACCCCTATTATCTGATGGGAGGTCCTTTTTAAACCAGGTGTCCTGATTGCTCTAGGGCAGCCCCTGCTCTGGTCACTCAGGGAACAGAAAATTGTTCATCCAGTGGCCAGTATATTTGCCTTCTACCAGACTCCTGTACCCCACTGTCTGGGTCTGTCACAATAGCCATTTGCATCTCTGCAATTAAGGGTAAAACACAATCAAAAGAGGATAGTAGCATTTTACTCTCACTTAGCACAGTGGTTCACAACTTTACACAAGCTGCAAGGCAGTGGAGAATCAAGTCTGGAAACATTTGGGTAATGAGTTATATAAAATATGGGATTATTTTATGGGAAAAAATAATAGGCCAATTTTTCATATACATATGCCTTCATTGCAGCCACAAAATATGTATGCACACCTATGGAACTTACAGAGCAGCATGTGCATGTGCAGTAGTTACATATTTAGTTATCTGTTCTCATGCACAGTCACTTGAGTTTTGCTCACAAATGAGAACTTCATTTATATATCTGTTCTGCTGGTGAAATGTGGGTACACATTTTAAAATCTGTCCCAGTATGGTAAAAGTGCACTACAGCAACTTTCACAGATCTCCCACTGTTTATAGGTTTTTCTTCCTACCTAAATATTTCACTTGCTGTTGCACTTCTTCCATTCCCTTATTCCAACAAAAAATACCTTGTGATATGGCTTTTGAAATAGACAAAAATTCATTCTAAAGAGTTAAAAGGGGCTGTCCTATTACATGGGAAGTTTGATTTTCACTTAACATGCAAATGTTTGCAAACTTTCCTGCAGACAACACTAATGAAACTATTACAGATAGCAGTCTTTCCTATATTCGTGCAGGAAATTGACTTGGTGATTGAAGAGGTTCTTCTCAAACCTAGCATCTATTAGTATGTCATTAACATGGTTTCTGTTCCCCAAAAGATGTATTTAATTTCAGAGCTACTAAGCCACAAGACAGATGCTTTTCACTTGAAAATGCTAAGTCTGAAAGCTTAAACTTAGACAACATTATTAGTGATGTCATGAGAGACATTTTATGTTAACTTTAAATTTAAATAAAATTATACATTAAAGCTTGGATGTAATATACATTATTTAAAAGTAGTCACCTCTAAAGTCAACTGAGGAGAAATACCTAGAGGCTTTGATAATTTTTTATTCAATTTTTTTTCAAAAAATATACCCACTGATTTAAAAAATATTAATAAAGGACTTTAGGATTTGGCCTTGAGTTACTAGAAGAGTCATCAGTGCTGAAATACAATTCACTATCCTACCTTACTCTGAGAACAATGAAGGAGCCATCTTTCATTCCAAGAGCTAGTTGAGATCCATCAGGACTGAAAGATACACTGCGCACAGCTTCTTCCATATTACAGCGAGCAATCAAGGCATGATCAGCAAGGCTCCATAATCTACACAAAAAATTGAGAACCAAAAAACATTACTTAAGATTACAGACTTTCAATACTATCAACTGCAGAAATGAAATGCCAGCTTCTACAAATTGATCCACAGTAAGTATGCTTACATTGACTGCACACATGAAGTAATTTTTGTGGCTAGAATATGTAACTGGGCTTTCATAGAATGCTCCCGTATTCCACTTATATCTGTACCCCTCCAATGTTATAGTTAATAAATTCATGAAGTAGTCATAGTTTGGTACAAGGTGGTGTTTTTACCATAATGCACTATTACATTAAGTTGAATTTTATGGTTACCACACATGCTCATGTTAAATGAAGGTCTGTTGAGATAGAAATCTTATTTTGATAATTAGGTCATAAAAAAAATCTCCTCCAATGTTAAACTAGTAGGCTCTTGGCTAGGTGCATATTTTCTCTCACAAATACTGATATCTGTTAATGTAAAGAACCAATACATACACTGTCACTCAGTAACTGTTTTATGTTCATAGGAACATAGAAACTGCCATACTGGAATAGTGGTTAGTCTAGTCCAGTATCCTGTCACTAACAGCGGCCAGTACCAAATGCCACAGAGGAGGTGGAAGAAATCCTGCAGGCTATGAGATAACCTGCCTCTGGGAAAATTTCCTCCTAAACTTCAATGAAATTAATTGAGTTAAAACTGGTGTATGACTGAAATATTGCATTGGAGACTCAGAACTGTTATGGAGCTTTGGGACACTCTTAGAATGATGTTGGTTTCCTAGAAAAAATTATGGTAGCTGGTGACAAATTTATTTAGAGAGCCACTGTATCCAGTTTTCTCAGATTCTAAAATTACAAGACAAAAAAGCACCTAAGGGGAAAAAAACCAAAGCCTGAAATATATGTGGATGAATAAATTGGCATAAGTTTACAGAAATGGAGAAATGAAGGAGAAATGAAAGTTACTTATTTGTAGATGGACTCATGGGATGCGCCAGCCAGTGAAGCTCAGACAGTGGAACCTTCTTATAGGAGTGCCTGTTGGAGCACTCACCCCTCCCCAACCGCCATTGCTGAACATTCTGAGGATGAGGATATAAAAGGGCACTTGGCACCCTCGGCCAACAAGTTCCATCATGATTTCCTCAGACTCAAGATTCCATTGGGATTCTGAGGAGAAGGGCAAAGTGGGCAGGGAGAGTGAATAGGCAGAATCCATCTAAAAGAACTCTGTTATAGATAAATAACCTTCATTTTGTCTTTTGAAGTCTGTACATTCCCTTTGAGAGTTGAAGAAGATCCACGAACTATTCTTGTCTGGGGGCGGCCGGGGGTGACTAGAATTATCCTGTTACTACCTTGCCTTATCTTCTTTATCACTCTCTGAATGAGAGGAAAGTGGGGGGAAACATAGAACTGATCCTTCCCCTAGTTTAGGAGAAAGCATCTGATACAGACAGACTCTCTCCCTGCTTTTGAGCAAAAGTGGTGACACTCCAAATTCTTTCTAGTAGCAAAAAGATCTATGTCCTGGAACCCTCGCAGATTGAAGATATCATCTATCACCAATTTCTTTAACAATGATCATGCAATCCTGTTACATCTCTGCTCAGTTAGGCTCCTGCTAGATACACAGCTGTGAGATAAACTACTGTGCTGGAAACACCAATTTGACTGCTTCTTGGGTAGGCTGAGAACAATGAGCCCCTCTCTGTTTGTTCATGTAATATACTGCTGGCATACAGTCTGTGACAACTTCCACTACATTTTTCTGGATGTGAGGTAGAAAAGATTTGAGAGCCAAACAGATCACTCAATTCTAGGATGTTTATAGGTAATCTCTTTTCTTAAGAGCTCCAATGACCTCAAACTGCTAATTTGTTGAGGTGTGCTCTCCACCCTTTGTTGGAGGCATCCCAAGATGTTTGTTACCAATGGAGCTGCTGAGTTGAATAATAGCCCTGTCAGAACATTTGCAAACAGACACTATTGGTGAAACTACAGGAACTGATATGTGGAAAATGGTGAAGGGTGAAAAAACTTTACAGAAGGAGCCCAAAAATGGGGGCAGTAAGGAAGGGTCCATGGAAAACTGAGACAGCTCATCCAACTGCTTCAGTTTCTCAGATGGAGAGTTCTGAGAAGTGTGACTCACAGGAATATTCTTTTTATCCCCTTTAGGCAATGTCTTTTCAGATCTGGTAAATGACCCAACTGTGGATCTATGCAATGCATTCATAATATCACAACAACAATGGAAACTGAGAATTGGCAATGGAGACATCACCGCTAGTTCCAGAACTCTCTTTGGATCTGATGCAATCCTTGGAACTGGAGGATGAACTTTAGGGAAGGATTCACCCTGATCCAAACTCCTCATCTTTGGTTTAGAATTCAGTGTTCTTGGATCCAGATCTGAGAAGTCTTCTGAACGTAACTTGACTCTGCTAACAGGAAACTACTTGTCTTGTGCAATCTTTTTAGGAATCAGTTTAGGCAGTTCTGATGGTTTTTACTGCAGTTTGGTTGTTATCTCACAGGCATGTTTTAAGGTTGAATCCAGTTATTTAGGAACCAACTGTACAACAGTCTTGGAACTTGCATCTTGTGTTCAGATCTCTTTGAGGTATCAGATCTGACAGGCTTCACAGCCAGAGCCTCTTGGAGCATTAGGACTTTCTGCCTGTTATGGCACTCCTTAGGTGCTCTCTGGTAAAGGAGCTGCCAATAGAGTACCTCAAAGGAGAGTGGCCCCCACTGAGACACTCCAAGCATCAAATATGGCCCTGTCTTGATCAAAAAGACTACAGACAAAACACACACATTTTAAAGCCAGGTGTCGTCACCTTTGGATCCATCACGGAACCAGTAGTCAAAGCTGAAGAACTAACTACTGTTAACTATGCTAAGAATAAAACTTTTCCTTAACAAACTAACACTACAAATTGCACTAGGCTGGGACACTAATATCTACATGAAAGAAGGCTCTGGAAAGGCTCAAGTCCATCTGCTGCTGCAGTTGGAACAAACTGAGGCATCAGAGAGTGCAACACTTCCTCTTATAGAGTCACCCTCAGAATGTCCAGGAAAGCAGAAGAGAAGGGCAGGAGGGGTGTGTGAGTGCTCCAACTGCAACGAGAAGGTTCCATGGCCTGAGTTGCACCCACTGGCACAAAGGACACTGTAAGATGTAGTCTAGGATAAGTTGTTCTTTAATGGTTTACAGACACTATATCTGAGGGCTTAAAAGAGATTGGAAGTTAGTTATCTACACTGTATGAGGAACTTGCAGCATTCTGTGACATTCAGTAAAATGAAAGACATGTTTCACACCTGCTTTTCAACTATATCATACCATCTTGCTTCTGCCACACCACAAATTAGCAGTAGCATGGCAAAACCTAGGTGAAATAAGACTAAAAGCAAGTGTGTAATATAACTGTCACTTCACTGACATTCATGTGTGGCACAGAGTGAGCTGGCCCTTTTTAACGAGTTTGGACCCTGTTCTGTCTTTGTTTTACTCCTGTCTCAGAAGACCAAGGAGCTCCCAGGTGAAGTCCCCTAGTCAGAGGGAGTTTGTGACTGGAAAAGATCATGTGACTAGCTGGAAGCAACACCTCTGAAAAGGTCTGGCTTCCTCTTAGTCGTAGGCCTTGGCTACACTTGCAGATGTACAGTGCTGTGAGTTAAACCTGACTTCGTACAGCTGAATAGGGAAAGCGCTGCAGTCTGTCCACACTGACAGCTGCCCAGCGCACTGTCATGGCCACATTTGCAGCATTTGCTGCGCCATTGGGAGTGGTGCATTATGGGCAGCTATCCCACAGAGCACCTCTTCCCATTCTGGAACTGTGGGTTGTGGGAAGGGGGCGTGAGTGCGGAGCATTCTGGGTCCTGTCCCAATGCCCCGTGATGCATCGCTTCGCATCCCAGAAATCCCTTTGTGTCCGTCCACCTTTGGAGCCATCTTTCAACGGTTTCTGTGCAGCGCCATCTATCTGCGGGAAATGGAGCCCGAACTGCTGAGGCGTATGCTGACTTATCCCGCCAGCACGTCACGTTTGGCAGTCAAACTATTCCTTAAGATCCAAAGTGACAGTGAGAGCGAGGAGTCCGACGATGCTATCGAGCCGCGTAACGCGTACGGCATGAAATTGCATGTGGCATTCACGAACATGCTCAGCACCGTGGAACGCCACTTTGGGGCTCGGGAAACAAGCACCGAGTGGTGAGATCACATCATCATGGAAGTCTGGGATGACGAGCAGTGGCTGCAGAACTTTCGGATGAGAAAAGCCACTTTCACGGGACTGTGTGAGGAGCTCGCCCCCAGCCTGCGGCGCAACGACACAAGATTGAGAGCTGCCCTGCCAGTGGAGAAGCGGGTGGCTATTGCAGTCTGGAAGCTGGCAACTCCAGACAGTTGGTCGCAAACCAGTTTGGAGTGGGAAAGTCATCCGTTGGAATCATGTTGATGCAAGTTTGCAGGGCCATTAATCGCATCCTACTCAGAAGAACCGTGACTCTGGGTAACATGCAGGACATAGTGGATAGCTTTGCACAAATGGGGTTCCCTAATTGTGGAGGGGTGATAGATGGGACGCACATTCCTATTCTGGCACCACCCCACCTAGGATCCGAGTATGTTAATCGGAAGGGGTATTTCTTTATGGTTCTCCAGGCGCTTGTGGATCACCGTGGGCGTTTCATTGACATTAACGCAGGCTGGCCCGGAAAGATGCATGACACACGCATCTTTTGGAACCCTTGGCTGTTCAGGAAGATGCAGGCCGGGACTTTTTTCCCAGAGCGGAAGATCACAGTAGGGGAAGTTGAAATGCCCATTGTAATCCTTGGAAATCCCGCTTACCCGTTGATGCTGTGGCTCATGAAACCCTACACAGGGAGCCTTGACAGCAGCAAGGAACGGTTCAACTTCAGGCTGAGCCAGTGCTGAATGATTGTGGAGTGTGCCTTTGGCCGTTTAAAGACCCGCTGGTGATCTCTGTATGGGAAGCTGGACTTGGCCGAAAATAGCATCCCTGCCGTTATATCCGCGTGCTGTGCCCTCCATAATATTTGTGAAGGGAAGGGTGAAAGCTTCACTCAGGCATGGACCTCCAAGGTTCAACACCTGGAGGCTGAATTTACACAGCCAGAGAGGAGGGCTATTACAGGGGCCCAGCCCGGGGCTGCAAGGATTAGGGATGTCTTGAGGGAGCAATTTGAGGCTGAAAACCAGCAGTGATATCTGGTGCCCTGCAGGGGAGTGAAGTGCAGTAGTTCCAATCTTTAGGAATCAGTGTTTGCTAAGCAGACAAGCAGACTTGCAGTGCCTGTTTATTTCCTGGGCTAAGGAGTCTTTTACTTTATGCAATAATAGAGAATGTTTTCAAAGCCAAAAAATCCATTTATTGAAAAGAAAAAAATGTATTTATTGAAAAGAAACAAGGGGGTGGAGTGGGGAATGGTACAATCAGAGATTCGCGTATGTCCTGTCTGGTGTGCTGTGCAGTGAGTGCTGCACTTCAGGATAGCTATACTGCATGGTGATGGGGGTTGAGTGCAGAGGGTAAGCATCATGGTTTTCAGGGCTGGGTGGTGAAGATACTGGTGTTGGAGGCAGCTGGTGGCGTGAAGAACACGGAAGTTGGGGAAAGTGGGTTGGAGGTGACAGTGGGGCACAACGGAAAGAGTTTGGGGACAAGGGCTGTAGGGGGGGGCGTTTGCAGTACTGCTCCTTCTGCATGGCTACGAGCTCCTGGATAGTGTCTGCTTGGCGCTCCAGGATGCTTATGAGCTGATCCGTGCTTTGCTGCCGGTGCTCCGTGCTTTGCCGCCGGTGCGCTGCGTTTTCCTGGTGGATCCTGCTTTCTCTCTCCCTCCAGTTCTGTGCTTTCTCATTCTCTTTAATAGATTGCTGCATCACTTCTTGCAGCATGTCTTCTTTGCTTTTTCGCAGTCTCTTCCTGAGTCTTTGCAGTCTCTGAGCAGGTGATAAGAGGGACGGCTGAGGTCTCAAGGTTGGTGCAGCTGTATAGGCAAAATGCAACATTTATCAGAGGCAGCATTGTTTATACCAGAGTAATGATTTCCCCTGCACTTAAGGAGTAGAAAACACACAGGGTCTACACAATTGCATAATTTTCCCGTCCGAAACAGAACACACATATCCCACGGGAGCCTCAAAATGGTGAGTAAGGGGGACTGATTGTTTCAGGGCTGCACTGTCCTCTGGATTTCTGTGCCTTGGGGAGAGCCAACAGCTTCAGGGGGCACCTACACTGAACACTGTCCCAACATTTTCCACAGGAGTTTGTCCTGGATGATATCTCGCTGCTGAGGGTGACCTGGGAAGCAAGGGAGGGTCTTCTACTGCAATGCGGCTTCCGCCTTGGCCCATATGCAGCTTGCCTGTGTGCAGCAATGGTCCCCGCCCCTTGCAGCACAGTGGCGCGGACATGTTAGCCTGGCTGGGACAAGGACCACGGTGGCCCTCCCGATAAACCTGCGCAAGCACATTGCACACGTTCTGGATGAGACATTTGAGGAGATTACCGAGGCCAATTACCGCGATGTGATAAACCACATCAATGCACTATTCCGCATCTAGGCATGCATGCCTAACCCTCCTCTCCCAAAGAGCCCGCACCGAAAAAATTCCTTCCCGAAAAAAACCCGCTCACCGGGAACCTGCTCTTCTGTTTGTCCTCCACCAAGTACCGGCCGCTGTGACTGGCTACCTTCCTCCTGGCTCGAGAAGAGCTCCTGGCTGCATGGCTCCAGGGATTCCGGGGTGTCTCCATCCGGCCCAACACCCTCACTCCCGTTTTCCTCCTCCTCCTTCTCCCCGCACACTGGCTCAGAAGTGTCTATGGTGGTGCTCGGAGTGGAGGTGGGGTTAACCCCAAAGTATCGCATCTAGCTCTTTGTAGAATTGGCAGGTCGCGGGGGGAGCACCTGAGCGGCCATTTGCGTCGCGGGCTTTGCGGTAGGCACTCCGCAGCTCCTTCACTTTAATCCTGCACTGCAGGGCATCCCAGTCATGGCCCCTTTCCATCATATCCTTTGATACCTTCCCGAAGGTATCAAAGCGGAGCTGGGACTGTACAGCTTCCTCCCCCCAAACACTGATGAGGTCCAGCAACTCGCCATTGCTCCATGCTGGGGCTCACTTGGCGCATGGAGGCATGGTAACCTGGAAAGATTCGCTGATAGCACTCCACGCCATGCCAGGCTGAGCAAACAAGAAGGGGATTTTTAAAATTCCCGGGGAATGTAAAGGGTGGGTCACATGGTTGGTTACCTGAGGCCAGGCAGTAGAGTTTGAACTGATGACCAGAGTGGCTAGAACAGGCATTGTGGGATACTGCCGAATACTTCTGGAGGCCAGTCACAGTGATTGGACGGCCACACTGGTGCCGGCGCACTGCAGTGGCAGTGCAATACACGCTATTGCTCTTGGGGCTGTGGAGTACATGCAGTGCTGCAACCACGGAGATACAGCGCTGCAAATGCCTTGCCAGTGTGGGCGGGTAGTGAGTTACAGTGCTGGGGGCGTGTCAGGCCTTTGTAGAATTGGCAGGTCATGGAGGGAGCACCCAAGCAGCCGTTTGCGTCACGGGCTTTGCGGTAGGGGCTCGCTTGACGCGTGGAGGCATGGTCACCTGGAAAGATTCGCTGATAGCACTCCATGCCACGCCACGGGGAGTGAGTTACAGCACTGGGGGCGGCTTTACAGCCAAGGCCTGAGGCGCCCCAGCGCTGTAACTCACTCCCCGTCCAAGATATAAATGTAAATAAACTTGCTTGTCTGAGCAATTGGCTTAACAAGAAGTAGGACTGAGTGGACTTGCAGGCTCTAAAATTTTACATTGTTTTATTTTTGAATGCATTTTTTGTACATAATTCTGCATTTGTAAGTTCAACTTTTCATGATAAAGAGATTGCATTACAGTACTCGTATTAGGTGAATTGAAAAATACTATTTCTGTTGTTTTTTTACAGTGCAAATACTTGTAATCAAAAATAAATATATAGTGAGCACTGTACACTTTGTATTCTGTGTTGTAATTGAAATCAACATATTTGAAATGTAGAAAACATCCCCAAAATATTTAAATAAATGGTATTCTGTTATTGTTTAACAGTGCAATTAATTTTTTTAATCGCGTGATTAATCGCAATTAATTTTTTTAATCACTTGACAGCCCTAATAATTTCCAGTTGTGGTGTATACTAAAGAGAAATTGGACCTCATCAAGTATTTTGGGGAATAGGGGCCAAATTGTTTAATATGATAATAAATACAAGAGGAAAATGTGACAATATCAGTGATTAAATATGTTAGGGTAATGCCTTCCATTTTAGCCACAGGAAGAAATGAAATTCAGCATGCTTTAAGCCTAAATTTTTATAGGCAATTTCCGATGGATTTTACATGATTTACGGAATGTGTGCACTAGGGCTGATTCAAAGGTATGGCTGCAAGGAAATAAGTAGAAAAAATACTATCTTAATTAAGCTAAAGGTTTTACGATTTCTTGGGAAATTGTTGCAATTCTTTACTTACCACTAAACCTATTTTTAAAGAAATGACAAACGTTTCAAAAAGAATATTGGTTAAAAAATGTTCTTGTTAAAAGTACATGACTAATTGAATATATATCAGTAAATGAGCTCCAGCCTTACCGTACGGATCGATCATCACTGCCTGTGACAGCTAAAGGCTTCTTTGGATGGACTGCCAGGGCCCAGAGCTCCCCTTCACAATGACCCTGCATTATCAGCATTGGTTTATCTCTTTCTCTCACTATCACCTCAAATATTTCACTGTCCTGTGTCCCCGCTAAAAGTCTGTCTCCTTTCCAACAAACACTTCGGATGGACAAACCTGACAAGGAACAGCGTAGTTTTAGGTAACCAGTAATAACAAGACAAAGTTATATCCAACATAATAAAGAATAGGAATTTTAAAAATTCCTTTATAACAACCATATTTTGAACTTACATAGTATCTTCAGTCTGAAGACTGAAGGCACTTCATAGCTTATCTAGCTATAAAGCTAAACAGAAAGCTATAATTGCACTTCTATGAGGTAAGGCAAATATAATTATTCCCATTTTACAAATAAGGAAGTTGAGGCACTGGGAGATGCAGGGGCAATCCTGAGAAGCGCTGAATGCCCAGAACTCCTATTGCCTATAGTGGGAGTTGAGTATGCTCATCATGTCACAGAATCAGTCTCCTAGGCTTTGTCTATAATGGGGAAATTTACCCCCCCAAAAATCCAACTTTATTTAACACAGGTTCCCCTGTGTTAAAACTTGTGGGAAATTTAGATTAGGATAGGCTCCTGTGACTGGAACTGTTTTTACCATCATTTTCATTAGACTTGCTTTTTAAGCAGACTTAACTAAAACAGTGATAAAAATGGTTCCCGTAACCACAGCCTTATCTACACCATGACTCTCAGCGGTTCTATTTTTAAATTTCAGTAAATTTCTCCAGAGGAGAACTGGCCTAAGTGACTTACTCTAGTATGTGCAGGAAATTTGTGGCAAAAGTGGAAGTGACATGCAGATTTTCCATTTATCAGTTCTGTGCTTTAACCATCAGAGTATATTTGCCTCACAAATCATCCTCCTTCCTGCCCTTTTTATAAGGAAAAGAGTTATTTTTAAACCACATCTGTCGTTCATTACAAGAAACAACCCTCACTTTAAAACCAAATATATGTCTATATCACAGACAGGCTGAGATTTCACTTTTATTGTAAATTATTTACACTAGCAATAGTGAATCATGACTCAGGCAATAGAATTTATTATAAAAATTAAATAATTGATTCAACATAATTTTAAGTCTCTGTACTTTTGGGTCTCACTTTCCATTCCCCCAGTGTAAACTGGGAATAACCCCAGTCAAAAGAGTTACACTGCTGTAAAACTAGTACAAGGAAAAGGATAATCAGATCATATTTAGGTTTTGGGAGGTAGAGAGGCATACATACATTTTTATAGTTACTTTTTCATTTTCCACAGTTTTAATCTAGTGATTAAGTTTATTTTTTATTTTCATGTCAAGCCTAACATTACAATCAGATTTCATGCTATCTTTTTAAATATGCAATATTTTTGCTAATTTATGGATCTGCCTACATATATTTGCAAAATTATATTCCTTTTTAACCTGAGCAGTTGCCATAGATGAATTTATACAAAGTCATGTATTTTTTAAGAACTGTAAGTGATGGGTTTTATTTGATATGGAAAATGATGAATCATTTCTATCTCTGGGATACCGGCAGTGTCTGTATTAATAAAGTACCTATGGATGAACACCACAGAATAGTTAATCTCATTGGAGGCAGGCTTGGCATCTGCTTTATCAGAACAGACTCCTTTCTACTACATAAACTGATGTGCCATGTCCCAGAAATATGCAAATGAAAGTGATTTCAACCTCAAAATATCATTATAAACATTTGTCACTGAAAACTTCACAAATAAATGAATCTCTAATTGATTAGTTCTAGGTTTAAGTTTCAGATCATTCAGTTCACCATTTATTCTGCCAGTTTATTATGCTCCCTCTTTTACATGCACAGCTTCTGATGCTATTTGTTTCTAAAGTGAAAGTAAAAACGTGCAGTTGTTCATACTATTTTATTCAATGACTTAGGATTCATAAGGTGAGTTACTGAACTATGGGTAAAATTTTCAGACATGCCCAACTGATTTAGGAGTCTAAGTGCCATTTTCAAAAGTGACAGTCACTTGGAAGCCCAAGTCCCATTGACTCCTAAGTGTCTAAGTACCTTTTGAAAATGGGACATAGGCTCCTTAGATTTAGGTGCTTTTGAAAAAATTTACACTATAATTCCAGGTTGATAGTGTCGTTACCCAGCAAGTTTTAATCCTGATTATTGATCCGGGCACAGAAGTGAATGAGGACAGACACAGGGATGGATTTGAAGTGGCAGGCCACAACTTTATTAAATTTAACATCGGAGACGAATTGTATCTACCCACATTTTGCCATTGCAAGCATTTAAGTGAGTCTATTGTAGGGTTTATAGGGCTCCTGCCATATAGCCTATCATTCAGGCTAGACTCCCCACTGCCTACTCCTAGGATTCAGCTCATTTGCTGAATTATCTTACTCTCACCAGTGAAGGGGACAAAGGTACAAAAGAAGGACCTTAGTCTGCAAAGACTTCAGATCTCTCCCTTTCCCATAGGTCCATCAGCAAAATCACATCTTTATTTCTGGATGCTGACCCTTTTCTATCCAGTGTGGACACCACCACAAGTTGTGACAAACTAAGCATTCATACAATTCTTAATAGTAAATTTCTAAATCCTAGAATCCTAGAATAGAATATCAGGGTTGGAAGGGACCTCGGGAGGTCATCTAATCCAACCCCCTGCTCAAAGCAGGACCTTAAAAACCTTTAAGGAAGGAGATTCCACCACCTTCCTAGGTAACCCATTCCAGTGCTTCACCACCCTCCTAGAAAAAAGTTTTTCCTAATATCCAACCTAAACCTCCCCCACTACAACTTGAGACCATTACTCCTTGTTCTGTCATCTGCTACCACTGAGAACAGTCTAGATCCATCCTCTTTGGAACCCCCTTTCAGGTAGTTGAAAGCTGCTATCAAATCCCCCCTCATCCTTCTCTTCTGCAGACTAAACAATCCCAGTTCCCTCAGCCTCTTCTCATAAAACATATGCTCCAGCCCCCTAATCATTTTTGTTGCCCTCTTTCCAATTTTTCCACATCCTTCTTGTAGTGTGGGGCCCAAAACTGGACATAGTACTCTGGATGAGGCCTCACCAATGTTGAATAGAGGGGAACGATCACGTCCCTCGATCTTCTGGCAATACCCCTACTTATACAGCCCAAAATGCCATTAGCCTTCTTGGCAACAAGGGCACACTGTCGACTCATATCCAGCTTCTCGTCCACTGTAACCCCTAGGTCCTTTTCTGCAGAACTGCTTCCTAGCTATTCGGTCCCTAGTCTGTAGCAGTGCATGGGATTCTTCCATCCTAAGTGCAGGACTCTGCACTTGTCCTTGTTGAACCTCATCAGATTTCTTTTGGCCCAATCCTCTAATTCAGGGGTCAGCAACCTTTCAGAAGTGGTGTGCTGAGTCTTCATTTATTCACTCTAATTTAAGGTTGTGAGTGCCAGTAATACATTTTAACATTTTTAGAAGGTCTCTTTCTATAAGTCTATAATATATAACTAAACTATTGTTGTATGTAAAGTAAATAAGGGATTTAAAATGTTTAAGAAGCTTCATTTAAAATTAAATTAAAATGCAGAGCCCCCCAGACCGGTGGCCAGGACGCAGGCAGTGTGAGTGCCACTGAAAATCAGCTCGCGTGCTGCCTTTGACACCCGTGCCATAGGTTGCCTACCCCTGCTCTAATTTGTCTAGGTCCCTCTGTATCCTATCCCTACCCTCCAGCATATCTACCACAGTTTAGTGTCCAGTTTAGTGTCCTATTTAACTATTCCTATTTAACCTCTGTCTCTATGAGACTGTGAGGTTTTTTATTTTTTGCCTTCCTATCAGGCCTCAGCCAATATGGCTCCTATGGGAAAAAATATTTTCTGACCCCCTAAAACCAGGTGATTGGTCAGACCCACAGCATCTTAACACCACAGTTCCAATATTATATAACTACAGGGATGAAGGGTGTTTTCAGCTAAAATGGAGCAAGAGGCTTAAGAAACCCTGGGCAAGGGTTTAAATTAATGAAATATGGGAAGCAAGGAGCCAATCGGCACTTCTCTATCTGGCTGACCAACTGGCAAAGGAGCATGCAGGGGGAAGAGAGGCCTATCCCTGCATACATTCCCCCTTTCATTCTATCTAAAGCTATCATGTACCAGGCGGATCCAATCAAGTCTCCGACCCATTAAACCAAGTGGGTAGCATTGCTTACTGAATTTTCAATCTGGATTTTTCTCATGTTGCCCAGTCCGAAAAGCCCTGAAATCAACTTCTTGACCCTGCCTTACATATAATGTAGAGACTCTGGGCTCAGTTTTGCAAAGTTAAGCTCTTCACTTAGATGGCCCAATTCTGCATTTGGACATTCAAATAGCCATTAAGGCATGTCCATTTTTAACACAGTAAGAACCAATTTTAAGAACCAAATATGGGATTGGCAATCAATTTAGGTAGCTAAATGTGAAGATTAGAGCTCTCTATCTCAATATCTCCTACAAGAGAAGAAAGCCTGCTGAGGTTGAACACTTTAAAAGAAGACAGTAACAACATGATAGCATTTTCTGTTTGGTTGCCTGCTTTAGTAAATTATTAAAAAAATCAGTAACTTCTGTAGTGGGATGAAGTATGGGGGAATGAAATGAATGAATGAAAAATCAAATTGTCATGTTAAAATCCATGAAAAAGTCAATTGCAGCTATGGATTTTATAATAAAAGAGTACTTGAATAAAATATTGGTGGAAAATTGCTTGTCAATAAAATTCCCACTATGAACTAAAATATATGTATTAGCATTTTGTTGGCCCCTTGAAAGGATAAAAGAATGTTCATGCCTTCTATCTTGCCAACAAGAACAAAAATCAGAAGATGACTTAGTCTGTACCTTTCTGTAAGTTATCTAGGAAATAGTTCAAGCTCAGGTCTTACAACACCCTCCTCCTGCAGAGCAGCAAATTCAGCATAGGGAATGGAGTTCTGATATACCTTACAAATCCTCAGTAATTGCAGTAAAGCATGGGTGTGTAGACAATCTTATGACATCTACACCAAACCTGTTTTAAATTTCTTGAGAGCAATCATTCCTAGTATATATTTGAAGGAAACTGTATTCTTCATCACATGTTCTATTACAGGGATGGGAAA